TATATATATACATACACATATACATATATACACATACATACATACATACATACATACATACACACACACACACACACACACACTGTACACATACATACACACTTTTTTTTGGGGGGGGGGTTACCTTTATTTTTGTAAGTGGGTCACAGAAAGGAAATGAGGGAGACAGAGGAAGAGACCTGCGACATCATACACACACACGCTGTGCATGGGTATATGATGCACCACATTATAACCACTGAGCTGCTGAGGTGCCTAAACATAACATTGAGAAAAAGAAAATTCCCACACTGTCACATAATATAATATTGAACAGGACTATGAATGAAATGACTGAGCTGCCCATGTAAGCAACAAAGGACCAGAAGTGCCCGTTTTAAATGTTATATATTGTGTTAGATAAGACTTTCACAGAAAATGATTTACTTCATGAGGTAATTAAACAAACAAAAAAAATCTTAGGAATCAAGAGCTGATTGTAAAGTCAATATTTCTTCGAGGTAGTCCGCGGTTGATCCACTCAATATTGATCCTGCTCCATCCATTCAGTCACTGAAGTCAACTGTCTCCTATCTTTGGATCTCGCTCTCTCTGTCTCCCTCTCTCTCTCTCTCCCTCTCCCTCTCCCTCTCCTCTTCATGTGCGTCAGCCAGTGTGGATCAAATATTCTACATTTAAAGTTGCCTCACTGGAGAGGTGTTCATGGCCACAGCAGATCTCCCAACAGTTTAGAAAAAAAAAAGAGCCATGTCTTTCTCTCTCTCTCTCTCTCTCTCACACACACACACACATCAGTATTTTTGTTCTGCTGAGAATCTCGGTGCAATCCTGACAGACCAACAAGCCAAAAGACTAAAGGAGAGGTAGATACTGGGAGAAGCACAATTCCATAAGCTCTAACACCAATTCTATTAACCAGATACCCTCAGGCAGGTCATAGTCTGAGGGCTGTCACAGCAAAGGCTCAGTCAACGCTGATTTTCAGCCTGGACTGTGGGACAGCTAAATGCCGGGGCCAAGAGTGGTTATGAAAGGTTGTAAATAAATTTGAGATGCTCCTGAGTTGATATATGGGTATATGTTACATTACTTTATCATATTCAGTTTGTCATTTTCTTTATGTACATACATAAAAAATGAAATGCTGTTCCTCCCAGCCCATAGCAATGACAATAAAAGAGACATAACACAATCAAAAAAAATTCTATTAATAAAAACATTTCCTTAAAAAAAATAAAACAAATAACAATTAGTAGCACCATGCAACACAATTTGTAAGTTTTCATTTTCAACACAGAACACTAGAGAACAGAAGTGCTGCCATGGAAATTCCCAACAAGCACCGCTGCTAATATGCTCCAGTAATGGATACACAATATCAAACAAAAGATGGACGTTTGCTACCCTCTTCTCCTTCTGTTTGGGTGTATTTAAGGAATACTATACATCTATTTTTTTGAGTTAACACCTACCACTGCAGTAAAACAGTGATTCCTTTGTCAACCAGAGGACTTAAATGGTGTAAACGTGTAAAACAGTGGCAGCTCTACGAACACTCAAACAACGATGGCTCTGCACACAGGGGTGCTGATTAAAAGGACAAACTGTTAACACCACCAGCCACACACACACTCCCACAGGTATCACACAAAGTGATGTGGCAGGAGAACTGACATTATCCATGTCACCTTGACCAGCATAATCGAAAAAAATAACATGGTTCTAAAACCAAGAATGAATTTACAAAAATAAGCAAAAAAACAGGAGCACTAATGACAGTATGCTGCACAGACTTTATTCCAAACATAAGCTGACATTTCAGCAAGCACGCACCTTCCTCAGAGCTTAAAATACAACAATGGACCATTCATATACATACACATCTGTGGCATTTGGAAACATACAGATCATAATTATCACAAAGACAACATCAGCAGGCAAGTACATAAAGGCACATACCAATAAATCATGGCAAGAAACGTACATACACTCAAAATGCATACATTCTTCAACCCTGCAAACATAATAAAGAAACACGATCCCAGGTATAAAGACCAAAAGAAGGCCAAAGCATATAGTGTAGGTGACATTGTTTTGTAACAAAACACCATGCCTGACTATCCTCCTCCAGCCATAATTTCCTGAAATAATTACGAGTCAACTGCGCATGCACGAGCTTATGTGTGAGCTCTCAGCTTTGTTTACATCCTGCTAGCTACTCATGCTCAGGTCTGGTGTTTGCTAATGAAGAAATATGTCACCCAGTGCAGCAGTGCGTTTCTCTGATGTGCTTTTAATAGTTTTTGAAAAACATCGAAGGTCTATGGCACAGATGAAAAAGCTAATGCAGAACTGACAAACTAACTGTGAGTAGAGACAATTCACTGCCCGTTTTACTCTCTGTATGGAGATTGCTGAAAATACTAAATAGAATATGACTGGCCTTATCCTTTAACAATGTCTAAATGTTATACAAGTGGCTCCGATAGAATACATGACTTATTTTTATAGATACATTACAGATACTACAAACCAACCCTAACAGAAGCACCAACCTGAACTGAATGACTGACTTGAAATAACAGTCTTCTCACTAGAACATGGGTTAAATTGAAATGGGTGGTAAAGACAAAAGGAGAGACGCCTTGAGAACAGAGAATGGTGGAGGAGGACAGCAAGGTAGTCAGACAAAGAAAGAGCTGTACGTACTCCAAAACATTTCACATACTGTACACTGACTTTTCAGTTTTT